GTGTATTTCTCAAAACAACATTTCAGAGAAAACAGAGACAGAGAGTGAGAAAGCACTGCCCCAGGGGAGATGGCCACACCGAAATCCCTCCTCCATTCTCCTCCTGGGATTTTGGGCACATGTGCAAGCGTCTGGCGTCAGTTTCAAGCTGCTGGTCTGGGAGTCAAATCATGGTCGACCAGTGGGAGTCCAGTGACGTAACCACTAAACCCCCTGCTGGCCCCTGATTGGCCAGTTTTATAAAACAGAAAAATCAGCGACACATACCTGACATCTGAATAAGAGCACCTGCCCACACCCCAATCCTTCACAGCACTCCCTTTTCTTTTTCTTTTTTTTTTTTTCAAGAGAGATTTTTGCTATAGGGCGCATGGACCGGCCAGAGACAGAAAGCGAGAAATCACCCCCAGAGGGGATGCCCACACCAGTTCCCTTCTCCTCCATTCTCTCTCAGGATCTTGGGCACGCATGCATGTGTGCCTGGTGTTTCAAGTCATGGGGTCCTGGACTCAAATCACAGTCGACTATGTGGGAATCCAGCCATGTAACCATTACACCATCTGCTGGTCCCTCGAGCACTGTCTTTAAAAACTGCTGACTTCAGTTCATGTCAGCAAGGCAGATTTGCGAGAGGTTCTCTCCGGCCTCCTGGGTGCTGTCACTCAAACTCTTCCCTAAGGGCGATCTCCAATCTCAGGATCAATCTCAGCTAAACTGGGTTCCTTAACAGTGACACAGAGGCACTACAACATCTTCCTCAGGGTGAGTCATTCTCTGACACCTCCCATGGTGCCTTTCATATTTGCTATCTCCTCCCCAAAACATACCCCTCCCCCAGTTTTTACAGTAAGAACCAAAAAGTTGAAAAAGTGTTAAAGAACTTTATGGAAAAGGAAGCAAAGCAAAAAGAAAAACAATGACAATGAAAAAGAAAACATTACTGATAAGAAAGCAACTAACTGGTACCGATAATATTATCTAGTAGTCAGGAAGCAAGACTACGAACATTTAATGTAGTTAGTTACTGCTTTTTTTAGATTTTGGCCATAGAGTACATGCACTCACCAGAAAAAAAGAGAGAGGGAAAGTGAGAAATCACCCCCTAGGTGAGATGGCCATGCCAAAATCCCTTCTCCTCTATTCTCCTCTCAGGGTTTAGGGCACACACACACACATCTGGCATGATTTTAAAGCCACCAGGTTGGGACTCAAACCACAGTTGACCACGTGAGAATCCAGGGCTTTAACCACCATTCCACCTGTTGGCCCCCTGCTTACTGCATTTGAATTACATTTTAGAAGATTGGTTTGGATCAGAAGTAATCCGTTATAATTTTACCATTCAAAATAAAGAGAAATGTGCTGCCAGTTGATGCTTTTGCATGTAACATGAGATTTTCAGAAATTAATGGCTGATCTTAAGTAGGTACCATTATACCACTTTAACGTCAGAGCTAAGGAAGAGGGCCAACCTGTCGCACAGCAGGTAAGCACTGCCTAGCGGGTCCCACATGGCCGAGTGCAGTCTGAGTCCCAGCCTGAAAATCACGAAGGACTCATGTGCTTGCATGCTCCAAGTCCTGGCAGGTGGGGAAATGAAGGGAAGCACTGCAGTGTGGCCATTCTCTTGCTCTCTCTTTCTCTCTCTTTGAGGAGACCACTGTGCTCTCTGGCATACAAAAATAAAACATCTGGCAATAAAAAATAAAAAGTTTTATTAAAAAAACTAACAAAGAGAGCATGAGAAAAGACAGTGTACGGGGCTAGCAGAGGGCATAGCAGTTCTGTTGGTGGACTCCCACATGGTCGACTGCAATTCAAGTCCCAGACCCGGTGGCTTGAAACACGCCAGGCATTTGTGCGGGTGTGCCCAAGATCGTGAGAGGAGAATGTAAGAGAAGGGACTGCAGCATAGCCATTCCTCCTGAGGGGTGAATTTCTCACTTTCCCTCTCACTGTCTCTGTCTCTCTCCAGCGAGCACACATGCCCTAAGGCAAAAATCTCTACAAAAAAAAAAAGAAAAAGAAAAAGATAGTGTGAATCTCATTCATACACATAACTTCAATAATTCCAAACAAATATTTTTTGGGGGAGAGGTTTTCGCTATAGGGCGCATACGCTCGCCAGACAGAGACAGACAGAGAGACAGAAAGTGAGAAATCACCCCCCAGGGGAATGGCCACATCGCAATCCCTTCTCCTCCATTCTCCTCTCAGGATCCTGGGCACGCATGCACACGCACCTGGCGTGAGTTTTAAGCGACTGGGTTCGGGACGCGAGCCGCAGTCGACTACGTGGGAGTCCAGTGACATAGCCATTATGCTAACTGCTGGTCCCGTAAACAAATATTTTTTGAAATGAGTTTTGCTTCTCCTAGAAATGACTCATTCAATATGAGAAAATATATTAATGCATTTCACCAGATTAGGAAATTTGTTATTGCTGTCGTTTGTTATCGTTAGAGAGATTCTTACTGTGGGGCATGTGCACTCACCAGAGAAACGGAGAGACAGAAAGTGAGAAATCCCCTCCCTCCAGTGGGGGAATGGCCATGTCTCAATCCCCTCTCCTCCAGTCTCCTCTCAGAATTTTTGGGCATGTACAGGCATCCGGCATGAGTCTCAAGACACTGGGTCTGGGATTCGAATTGTGGTCAAGGATGTGGGAGTTCAGTGCCCCAACCACCATGCCACCTGCTGGCCCCAGCTGCTAACATCTTTAACCATCTGATTACGTGTCTGTGAGCCAAATCTTAGACATTTCATGAATAATGACCTTTTAGTCAATATAGCAAGAGAATTTTAACTTTTTGGAAAGAAAAAGTTCACTAGAGGATTCAAATGTCAACCTAACCAAATCTTGCTTAGCTAAACACGTGGATTTGTCCACTTATGCCATCTGGGAGGGGAGGCTGTTGGTAATAGATTTTTCCTTTCAGGAATTCTGCAAATAACTGCATTTTTATGACTACACATAGATATATATTCTGATATGGCTGCTTTAAAGTTATCCAATTTAGGGAACCAGCAGTTAGCGTAATGGCTATGTCGCTGGACTCCCACGTAGTCGACCGCGGTTCGTGTCCCGGACCCGGTGGCTTAAAACTCACGCCGGGCGCGTGTGCGTGCGTGCCCAAGATCCCGAGAGGAGAATGGAGGAGAAGGGATTGCGGCGTGACCATCCCCCCTGGGGGGTGATTTCTCGCTTTCTGTCTCTATGTCTCTCTCTGTCTGTCTGGCGAGCGCACGCGCCCTACAGTGAAAATCTCTCTCCAAAAAAAAAAAAAAAAAAGGAAAAAAAAAAAAAAGTTATCCAATTTAGACTGTCCAATTACACAATCATTTTTAAGAGATATTTTTGCTATAGGGCATGTGCGCTCACCAGTGAGAGAGAGAGAGAGACAGACAGACAGACAGAAGGCAAGAAACCACTCCCCCAGAGGAGATGGCCATGCCACAATCCCTTCTCCTCTCTTCTCTTGAGATCTTGAGCACGCACACACACGTGCCCGATGTGAGTTTTAAGCCGCCGTGTCCAGCCCCCACACCACAGTCGACTACACGGGAGTCCAGCAACACAACCATTACAGCATCTGCTGGTCCCACAGAATCATTTTTAATTAGAAAGGTTACAGCTTCAGGAAAACTTGCCATGTAATTTGAAGCAACTTATTTCTTAGTCTAAGGCTGCTCAGAATGATGGCATCTCAGAAACAGGAGCTTACCCAGTTTTTGTCTTGGTGAAAGTTTCAAAAACAGAAAACCACGTATGCATTATTTCCTGTATATGCACACAAAGATGAAAAACAGAAAACCCAGACTGGTACTTAGGTATATGAGTTAAACACAAGTTCTGACTGAGTAATGACAACGAAAAATGTTCCCAATATTTGGAAAACCCATTCTCAAACACAAAGGAAATAAAATACATGGTGGCAGATGTTCTTTTCTGATAAGGAAGCAACTACACGAAGCTTCCATTTGTTCCCAGTAACCAGTGCTATGGGGATGCAAACCCCCCAATTCCCAAATACTGCTTTCTTTTCCTTTTTATTTTGGAGAGGTTTTCGCTATAGGGCGCGTGCGCTCGCCAGACAGACAGAGAGACATGGAGACAGAAAGCGAGAAATCACCCCCCCAGGGGGGATGGTCACGCCGCAATCCCTTCTCCTTCATTCTCCTCTTGGGATCTTGGGCACACATGCACACGCGCCCGGCATGAGTTCTAAGCCACCGGGTCCGGGACGCGAACCGCGGTCGACTACGTGGGAGTCCAGCGACATAGCCATTACGCTAACTGCTGGTTCCCCCAAATACTGCTTTCGAAACGAACATATCAGAGCTGATTTTTCTATTAGTATGTAGTTATTTCTACACTAGTAAATCAATATCCAAGAAACAGATTTTACAAATATATATAAACTAAATATATATATTTTATAAATAGTGTGTATGTGTGTGTGTGTGTGTGTACACAATACAAACAATGATCAAGTTTTATCTTCTGGGTAAAAATGCTAAGTTAGTCTCTCTTCATAAAAAGCAATTACAGGGGCTGAAGCCAGCAGGTGATATGGCAGTTAAGGGCACTGGACTCCCACATGGCCGACCATGGTTCAAGTCCTGGAGCTGGCAGCTTGCTTTCTCTGTCTTTCACTCTGTCCCTCTATGGTCAAATTAAAATAAAAAAATATAATAACAAATAAATATAAATAAATAAATAAATGTTAAATAAAATAATTCTTAAAAAAAAAAAAGTAATTAGAGGGCCAACCGGTGGTGTGTGGTTAAGGCACTGGACTCCTATATGGTCAACCATGGTTTGAGTCCTGGACCTGGTAGCTTACTCTAACATTTTTCCACTCTCTATGTCTCTCTCTCTCTAGTCAAATTTATTATAATAAAAGTTAAGAAAATAATTCTTTTAAAAAATCAATTACAATTTTTCCTTTCAGGAATTCTGTAAATAAACAATTGCATTCATATGATTATACACACAGATGCTGACATGGCTGCTTTAAAGTTATCCAATTTAGACTTCATAATTACCTCTTCTGCCAGCACCAAGTCTGCTTCGCTTGAAGCTTTCCGTTACATGAGAAGCATCAGCCCTCCGCTGGAGCCTGTGGCACCGATGACTCATTGAGGATCCGGACCTCCACAAAGCCTCTTGGTTTATCGGCAGCATCACTCTTCTTTTTTTGATTTGCTATCAGCAGATTCACTGTCGGATAAAGATTTTTCTCTTTGTACTATCTTTTTCTTTACCAGCCTTTTGAGAATTATGAAATGTTTCAATTCAGTGTAGACGATCTAAGTTTTCTTCCAGTTCCCAGTATTACCAGCATCTGTAAACCCCTTCCACGTCAGGAAATATTCCACCTTCCTATCCACGACACGTCGGTCCAGTATTTTTCCACCACAAATTCTTCAGGCTCTGCTTCTTTAGCTTTTTTACGTTCTATCCCATTTCTTACCCATTTTTTGCAATGTAGTTTTATTGCAGACTTGAAAAAGTCACTGCTCTGAGCGGCTCCAGGTGGCATTTTGCAGCATCTCTGACTGACCCTATCTGCCTCAAGCTCCAGCCACATTCAAGTGGGGCCCACTTTTTGTTTTATTTGGGTTCTCAATAGATTAGATTATGCCCACTCACAAAGGGGAAGAACATCTACTATACTCACATTACTAGTTTAAATGTTCATCTCTGCTGGAAACATCTTCACACACACATAGAAATGATGTTAAACGAGATAGCTGAGGATTCCATGATTCACACAAGCTGAGGCATAAAATTAACTATCATACACACCATCTTCATAAACACATCAACTCTTGGGACCAGCAATTGGTGTAATGGCTGTCACTGGACTCCCATGTAGTCGACCACGGTTTGAGTCCCGGACTCGGTGGCTTAAACTCACGCCGGGTACATGTGCATGCGTGCCCAAGATCCCGAGAGAAGAATGGAGGAGAAGGGATTGTGGCATGGCTATCCCCACGGGGGGGTGATTTCTTGCTTTCTGTATCTCTGTCTCTGTCTTTCTGGTGAACGCATGCACGCTATAGCCAAAAAAACAAAACAAAACAAAAAAACCTCTCCATAAACACTCTCCCCAAATTTATCATGGATCAATGTCATCCCAATAAAAATTCCAACAGTGCTTTTCATCACTGAGCATTTCAAGATGAGTCTAAACATTATGTGCAAGAGAAAAGGGACAATAACAACTAAGACTTTCTTGGCAAAGACCAAGGTGTCTGGGTGGTGATATGGCTGCAGGAGTGGAATATCTGTCATTCCATATATGAAGACTTATTGTAAAAACATAGTAATTAAGGGACCAGCAGTTAGCGTAATGGCTATGTTGCTGAACTCCCATGTAGTCGACTGCAGTTTGAGTCCCAGACCTAGTGGCTTAAACTCATGCCGGGTGCGTGTGCACATGTACCAAAGATCCCGAGAGGAGAATGAAGGAGAAGGGATTGTGGCGTGGCCATCCCCCCCCCCGGGGGGTGATTTCTCGCTTTATGTCTCTCTCTCTCTTTCTGATGAGCGCATGAGCCCTATAGCAAAAACCTCTAAAAAAAACCCCATAATTAAGATGGTATAATATTGACACAGGATAGACAAATTTACTAATGGGACAAAATAGACAACACAGAAATACACATTTACAAAAAAAAAAAAAAAACCCAAACCAAAAATCTCAGAATCCAGTAGATCTGTATACAAAGGGCAGGCTATTTGGTAAACAATCTTAGAAAAACTGGTTATCCATATTGAAGAAATCTAATTGTTTCTTAGCACTCACTACAAACAAAAGTCAACTTTAGGTTGCTTTAAAATGAAATGTGCAGGACCAACAGATAGATGGCGGAATTGTTACATTGCTGGACTCCCACATAGCTGACTGCGGTTTGAGTCCCAGACCCAGCGGCTTGAAACTCATGCTGGGCATGTGTGCACCCATGCCCAAATCCTGAGAGGAGAATGAAGAAGAAAGGATTGTAGCATGGCCATCCCCCTGGGGGGGTGACTTCTGTTTGTCTCTCTCTATCTCTCTGGCAAGCACACACGCCCTATAGCAAAAAATCTCTAATAAAAAATGAAATGTGCATAGCTGGCCTGCAAAATGTCAAGTGAGGCAAGAAAGGGTAGGGTAAGGAATAACGCTCACTGGCCTGGCCCTGTCACTTACTGGCTGAAGGAATCAGATCGAGTTCCTATCAAGGGCAGGTCGATAAACACACGTTGTCACATGCACATACGTGCATGCCCCACATCCCAACAGGATGGAGAAATGGAGAAGGGATTGTGTGTGTTGGGGGGGGGGACTTTCTCCTCTCTGACATATGCATATGCCCTCTGCAATGAAAAAAACAAAACAAACAAACAAAAAAAAAACCAGGAAAAAGAGTCTCTCTTGCTGCCACAACAACACAAATTGGCAGCTTAAAACAAGTTGGCGCAATGGCTATGTCACTGGACTTCCATGTGGTCGATCACGGTTTGTCTACCGGACCAGGTAGCTTAAACTCACCCCAGACCCATGTACATGCATGCCCAAGATCCCAAGAGGAGAGTGGAGGAGAAGATATTGCAGCGTGGCCATCCCCCCTGGGGATTTCTCACTTTTTGTCTCTGTCTCTGTCTTTCTGGCGAGCACATGTGCCCTATAGCAAAAACCTCTCAAAACAATAAAATCAGTGCAAATGTATTATCTCACAGCTCTGTAAGTCAGAAGTCTGGCATGAGTCTCGCTGGAGTAAACTCAAGTCATTAGGAGGGATGTGTTCTTTTCTAGAGATTCTAGGTGAGAATCTACTTCTCTGCCCATTTGAGCTGTTGGCATCATGCAGTCCCCGTTTTCCTGGCTGCCAGCTGTGGGCCATTCCCAGTTGCTGGAGACTGTGCATCTTCATGGCTCATGGTCCCTTTCCTCCATCTTTTTTTTTTTTTTTTTTGGAGAGGTTTTTGCTACAGGGCACATGTGCTCACCAGAAAGACAGAGACAGAGAGACAGAACGCAAGAAGGGAGTGGCAATCCCTTCTCCTCTAGTCTCCTCTCGGGATCTTGGGCACGCACGCACCTAGCATGAGTTTAAGCCACCGGGTCTGGGACTTGAACCATGGTCAGCTACATGGGAGTCCAGCGACATAGCCATTATGCCAACTGCTGGTCCCCCATTTCCATCTTCAAAGCCAGCAATGGAGGGTTGAGAGGTGAGACATATTCACAGGTTCTGAGGGTTAGGATATGAGCGTTTTGGAAGTACTGTTAATCTGCTTATCACACAGGGGTTCCTGTGAACGAGGAACCTCGAGCTCAGAATGGTGGGCTGGTTTTGTTGGTGTTACACTGAATTTAGTTATTCTCTCTCTCCCCGCGGCTCCCAGCCCTTCGAGGAACCGGGGTTGTCAGGAAAAAGCCCCAACCTGCGCTTTCTGCGGCGAGGGCGAGCTCTGAGCGTCCCGCGGGCAGTAAGCCCCCGGCCCTGCGGGGCGCGCCCGCACCGGGCCGAGTCCGCCATCGTGACGTTATTCCACCTGCTGCTTCCTACTGGACGGCGCTGCCCCGCGGGGTCTGAGGCAGGAGCGTCCCGGGGCAGCCCTGACGCCCAGGCGCGCGGGCGGGCGCGGGCACGAAGGCCCTCAGGGACGCCGGGGAGCCCCTCTCCGCCCCGCCGGCGCCCGCCGGC